ATATTTAATATTATTATATATTCAATATATTATTAATTTAAATATTATTACATGTTTTCAAAAATTAAACCACCAAACGCAGTTTCAGTTTCTTTTAAAACTGAAATCAATCTCTAAATAAAACTACCAAACGCATTTCAGAAATAATTCCAAAATGAAAATGAAAACATTTTCATTTCTATTTTCATACAGAAAATAAAATCATTTTGGAAACAATTCCAAACGCACCCTAAAATCTCACCTTAGAAGAATGAAGAACAAACTCTGGAATCACCAATCCACGGTAATTCGATCGATTCCCGCCTAAAACTTGTTTTTCTTCACTTTTGGTAATTTTTTCCTTCTTCTCTCTCTTGGATGGACTCTCACGGTTATTGACATGAAAAATGAACATTTGAGGATATTTTTATCTCTTAAAAACCAGACTTAATAAAGTGGGAGGACTAAAATGCAATTTTGGCACTTTTTGAGGGACCTTTTTGCAAAATTTCACCAAAATATCTCATTTCTTGGGTTCTTGTACAAGCTTGGCCGGCCACCTCACTAAGCAAGTGGCATGATCTCAGCCATTCATCTAAAAAGTTACTTTAAATCTCAACCATTGATCATTTAATAATTATCCTATTTTGGTCCAACTTAATTTCATGTACAGTGGGCGTTTTGTCTGCGTTTCTCAGACAATTGGTCAACTTTGACCATTCTTGACTAACTTTTTGAGAGTGATGTTTTGGTCGACTCTTGGTCAATAAACTTTGACTTGGTCCACTTAAATTAGTCGAAATCCCAATTTACGTGATTCGGCCTTTCGAACCCCTTTTTCTTTCATTTTTCGTTCTGATTACTTCTAAAACCCTAGAATTGATGTTTTTCAATTCCTTTTCACTTCTTAACCTTAAGATTCATGTGTTGGCCCACTTGTGGGTTTAACACAGCATACTGCACATCCTTCCTTATTGTAGTCTGAAAGTCGGTAACGGTATCTTACCTAACTTAAATTTCTAATTACTTACTTGATGTCATCATGCTTACATAAGCAAGGTTTAGTGGACACTTGGTAATCACCCATTAATGTTCTATTCTTATAGTTATTCTTATTACTTCATACTAACTTTTGGGAATTTACCTAGTTGACATGAAATTTCAGTTCCCGACTTTCTCAACTTCTGAACTCATATTGCATCTGAATTTCTTTACTGAAACACCACCCCTTTAATTTCCTCTTATCTGTTTGGAATTTAAGGGTTTTTGCTCCTTAAATGTTAGAGCATTTCTCTATACGCTGCTAACATTATACTACACTAAGAGATTCCTAAGATTATAAGTCTCCAATTGTATATGCACTGAGAATTCTTCCGCCTTAAATGCGGTAAGAATTTATCAACTGAATTCACTGGTTCTTAAAATATGAACTAATAATAAAACTTGCTACAAAATTTAGGAATATTGATATTAATTCCATAAATCCTTCAATCACAAAATATGACAATATATTACTAAGAAAAGTCCTTGACTTAAATAAATAAATTTACACTATTTAATTCTAGGATTATCTCGGTCATTACACATTCGTTCTTGGGCCTTTATGAAGCAGTTGTTACGACAACGATTCTTGCCCAACAATTTTGAACAGACTCCCGGCAATTCCAACGTTGCTCATAACGAGGCCGGAGTGTTGGGGAATACATAGAGGAGTACTATCGCTTGAGTGCTCACAATAACCTTTCGGAGTCAGAAGACCAACAGGTAGCTCGGTATGTTGGAAGACTAAGGGATTCAGTCTAGGACCAGCTCACCCTGTGACCCATATAGAGCTTAACCGATGCTGTCATTATGGCTTACAAGGTAAAGGCACAGCAAACTCGCAATGGGAGCCGAGTTTTCTCAAACCGGAGATCCACTGATTTTGGTCTAGAAAAGGCAGGAGCGAGCGAGCTTTTGCAATGACAGGGAAAAGGTCCTTTGGAGGCCCCGAAAACCAACAACACTGAGCAGCTTCCTTCAGTCCAGCAGAAGCACAACCCCTACGCTAAACCGATTGTGGGAAAGTGTTTTCGATGCAATAAACCGGGACATCATTCCAACGAGTGCCCGCTTCAGAAACTCGTGAATCTCATTAATGAAATCGGGGTAGAGGAAGAAGAAGAAGGAACCGAGAACTATGGTGAGGAGCCCAAAGAGGTCGAACAAGTATTTGGTGATGAAGGAGAAAGGGTTGTTTGTATAGTCCAAAAACTCTTGCTTACCCTGAGAGAATCGGTTGCTAGCCAGCGACACTCAATCTTTCATACCCGTTGTACGGTGAATATGAAGGTGTGTGACCTCATAATAGACAGTGGCAGCATCGATAATTTTTTCTCCAAGGGGATAGTCAAGGCCTTGAACCTTTCCACAGAGAAGCATCCGTGACCCTATAAGATAGGATGGATTAAGAAGGGGGTTGAAGCATTAGTAGAGTCCATTTGCAAGGTACAACTATCAATTGGCAAACATTATCAAGATATAGTGGCTTGGGATGTTATAGATATGGATGCCTCACATATCCTACTAGGTAGGCCCTGGGAGTTTGATGCGAATGCCAAGCACGATGGACGGGCCAACAGCTATGAATTCCTTTGGAATGGCAAGAAGATAGCCTTAATGCCGCTACCCCAACAGGACAATTTAACTGGCCCAAATACTCACACTGGTCGATTATTCCTTACCACCCTAGGAAAACCTTTTGAACATGACGTGCAGTCCGCCGGGCTGGTCTTGGCTTTAGTTTCAAAAGGGACAGCCACAGGCGACCTTGCGGTTCCTGCGAATGTGCGATCGTTGTTGAAAGAATTTAAAGATGTGACCCCGGAAGAGTTACCTGAAGAACTCCCGCCAATGCGAGACATACATCATCGCATTGACCTTATCCCAGGAGCGAGCCTTCCTAATTTGCCGTATCACTAAATAAGTCCTCTCGAACATGAAACCCTGCAAAAAATGGTAGAAGACATACTGCAGAAACAGCTCATCCGTCCCAGCCTCAGTCCTTGCGCCATTCCAGCCCTCCTCATCCTAAAAAATGATAGGAGTTGGAGGCTGTTTGTTTACAGTCGCGCCATCAACAAAATCACCATCTCGAAGGTATGCTTGACAAATTGGAAGGGTCGAAGGATTTCTCTAAGTTGGACTTGCAGAGTGGTTATCATCAAATCTGAATTCGGCCAAGCGATGAGTGGAAGATAGCTTTCAAGACGCAGGAGTGGCTGTACGAGTGGCAACTGATGCCATTCGGCTTATGCAATGCACTAAGAACGTTCATGAGGCTCATGAACCGAGTTCTCAACCCTTTCATAGGAAGATTTGTGGTTGTTTACTTTGATGACATACTCATTTATAGTAGGGATCCTTCTGAGCATCTGGGGCAGCTTCGGGATGTACTGAAGGCGTTGTGGGACCACGAACTTTATGTCAACCTTAAGAAGTGTGAATTTTGTACTAACAAGGTGCTCTTTTTGGGTTTTGTGATAAGTGAACAGGGCATTGAAGCAGACGTGCAGAAGGTTGAGGCTATCCATAATTGGCCCACGCCAAGCACTGTACACGATGTCCAAAGTTTCCATGGACTAGCAACCTTTTACCAGAGGTTCATCCGTAACTTCAACTCCCTCATAGCTCCTATCACGAACTACCTCAAGTAGGGCCAATTTAATTGGGGGAGGAACAAGCGCGTAATTTCACTCTCGTTAAAGAAAAACTCAGTTCCATTCCTGTTTTGGCCCTCCCTTATTTTGACAAGGTTTTTCAAGTAGAGACGGATGCCTCTATAGTCGGCATTGGGGCTGTCTTAACCCAAGATGGGAGACCAGTGGAATTTTCAGTGAGAAATTATGTGAAGCTAGGCAGAAATGAAGCACCTATGAATAAGAGTTCTTCGCGGTAGTTTAGGCATTACAGCATTGGGAACCCTACCTGTTGTCTAACGAATTTATGCTTCATAGTGATCACTAAGCATTGCGTTACATTCATTCTAAGAAATGAAGCAACCGGATGCATGCTAGATGGTTTCTTTACCTTGAGCGATTTACCTTTGTGATCAAGCACAAGGCCGGCAAAACTAAAAAGGTAGCCAACACTCTTAGCCAAAAACCAAACTTCCTTACTAACGGAAAACCAGATCTTATTCACACGTTGGCAACTGAGCTAATCAGCTTGGAGAGCTTACGGGATCAATATGAAGGCGACAAGGACTTCGGTGAGATTTGGGAGAAGTGCTTGCGGGGACTCCACGTGGGGGACTACCATGCCCACCAGGGGTATCTATTTAAAAGGAGCTGGCTTTGCATTCCACATTCTTCTCTCCAGGAGCTTCTGATTCAGGAATTACACGCTGGTAGGCTAGCTGCTCACCGGGGGCACGATCACACTATTGAACTCCTCCTGGAGAGGTTCTTTTGGGCTCGAATGCATCAGGATATTGACTCATTTGTTCGGCAGTGGGGCACTTGTCAACGGGCTAAGGGTCAAGCTCAAAACACAGGGTTGTACGTGCCTCTTCCTATTCCGAAAACATTTGGGAGGACCTAAGCATAGATTTTGTCCTAGGACTTCCAAAAACTCCTCATCACTTCGATTCCGTGATGGTGGTTGTTGACCAGTTTTCGAAGATGGCACACTTTGTAGCTTGCAAGAAGACAGCTGATGCAAGTAATGTTGCTCACCTATTCTTCAAAGAAATAGTCCGCCTACAAGGGGTTCCGAGAACAATTACTTCTGACCGCGACATCAAGTTCATCAGCCATTTCTGGAGAGAGTTGTAGAAGCGATTCGATACGACCCTCTAATTCAGTAGTACTGCCCATTCACAGACTGATGGCCAGACTGAAGTGGCAAACCAAACTTTAGGGAGCATGGTTCGATGTGTGGCTGCAGGACAACCTAAACAGTAGGACATGGCCTGCGCTCAAGCCAATTTTGCTTTCAATAGTGCGTTGAATCGGTCCACTGGCAAGTCCCCTTTTGTTGTGGTCTACATGAAGGTTCCAAATCACACCGTAGACCTACTTCATCTTCCCCATTTCAAGAGTAAGACTGTCGCTAAACTAGTATATCATGTGGTGCAAACACATCAAGAGGTTAAGGCAAGCTTGGCCCAAGCTAACGCAAAGTACAAAGAGGCTGCGGATAGGCCCTGTCGAGAACAACTATTTTATGAATGGGATCTTGTCATGGTTCACCTTTGAAAGAATCAAATGCCTGTTGGAACTTTCCACAAGCTACAGTACAAGAAGTTCAGACCATACAAGGTTCTCAAGCGAATCAACAACAATGCGTATGTCATTGACCTCTCACCGGATTTGCAGGTGTCCTCCACATTCAACATGGCCGATCTGTTTGAATACTATCCCCCCGACGCGGTGGAGACCATTAACACAGAGAATTCTGAGTCGAATTCTGTCAAAGAGGGGGATAATGATGCAGGGCATGCTATACTCAATCATTGTGGTTGATGCTCATTGTCATTTCTTTCTGTTGGCTTTTAGTTTATTGTCGTTTGGCCCCATTTTAGTGTCGTTTCTTACTAGTTAAAACGCAGGTTTATTTATTATTTGGTTGTTGTTTTCTCTAAGCTATAGATAGCTGATTGTCAGACACTTAAACAAATTAATAAAGTATTATTGAAATTTCTTAGAGATTGGATTTGTTTTGTTCATTTTATTCCCTTGTTTAGGGTTCAGCTCTTGAGGCCTCTCCCATCTGGTTTTAGCCAGAAAACCATCTTAGCTGCGGCTGCACCACAATAGAATTTTTTTTTTTTTTGGAAGAAGATTCAGGCCAAAGGATCATCATTAGACCAATTTGATCCCACACACACGCGCGCGCGCACACAATGATACATCCCAAATTTCTTCAAAATGATTGCATACTCTCAACGTTGAAACTTTGGTTTGTTAAAATACTCCTAATGGCTTAAATTTTTGAGATGGATTGATAATTAATTAATAGATTCAAAATTTACTTAGATTCAAAATGATTGAATATCCGAGTTGATGCAAACCTAATGGCTTAATATACTTTTTTTTTTTATTGTTTGTTGACATTATAAACAAAGATTGACGAGACAAAGAATGATGAGATGACGTAATCTTTCCTTCAAAAAGGTCAAAAAAAGAAAAAACACTCACGCCCAATGTAAACGGAAACTCCAAACTTCTAGAATATTAATCAAACAAAGAAATATAAAATTTCAGTCTGTGGCTCCCTCTATATAAAGCATATGAAGCAGAAGTATACAATACCACTAATAGCAGACAAGAGAATGGAGCCGTCATTTGTGAAAAAGCTCACAAAAACAGACGTGGAAGAGAAGCTTATAGTGAAAAAAGTTTGGCTTGGTCATCTGTTGCCTTTCCCAATCCCAGGCGCAGATGCAATACCAATTGCCTTTAAGGATGAGTCCGGAAAGGACTATACTTTTCGGTTGAAGGCTCGGTCTCCAAAGCCCGGAGAAAATAGGTGTTACATTTAAATGGGAAAATCATACGATTTTTCTTTTCTTTTTTTTTTTGTTTGATTTTGATTTGGGTTTTTCTTTTTATGCTTTAGTTTGTAAGAACTTTTTTCATTTCTTTTTTTTTTTATCTAACGTTTTCTTTTCTTTTTAACAAAGTTTTTTGTTTGTTTGCTTGTTTTATTTTTAAAGGTATTACTTGAAGCCCGAATTCATGTGCAAAGAATGGCACATTTACGTTGTTGAGAAAAAGCTTGAGGTCGGGGAGAGCATTTACCTTTGGGTGGACGACCACGGCCATCGCAGGATTAAGGTTCGTGAGCCTCCGCGCCGTCACATGTTGTTCGGCACCACCTTCGTCTATTGAAAGTAAGAGTTGATCAAAAATCCAAATTCTGTTCTGGGTTTTGCTGGTTCTTTGTTAATATGTTCTGCAGTTCATGTTGTATTAGATACAGAGAGAGAGAGAGAGAGAGAGAGAGAGAGAGAGAGAGAGAGAGAGTAGATGTGGTTCAGGATGAAATAGAGAGAGAGAGAGAGAGAGAGAGAGAGAGACTCTCATACTTGAGAGGCTTGGGAAACAGTATTGATGTTTAGAGAGAGAGAGAGAGAGAGAGAGAGAGACTCTCATACTTGAGAGGCTTGGGAATCAGTATTGATGTTTTCTTGTTTTGTCTTTTTGAACTTTAAGTTCTAATAAATTGTTTGTTAATTTAGTTTGAATCTCTTGGTTTGCATCAACTCGGATATTCCAATTCCTTATTAATTTTATGTTATTGCGCTCATAGTCGTTACATATATACAAAGGAAATGACTGATATAAATACAGGTTCCTAATGATTTTCTCATAATTAATTTATGGGCAGGAGACTATATTTCTTTTTCCTTTCAAGTGCTTTCTTTGCATCACTTTTTGACCAAAGATTCGGAATCGAATTTAATCTTGTATGATTAAACATTGTTGACTTAACACCAGAGTAACGTTGATCTAGCTAGCTAGCTACTTGAACAATAGTAACGTTGATCTAGCTAGCTACTTGAACAATACAGTTAATTATTGCTGTCTTGAGAATTATATGAATAATATCGCTCAAAATTCCATTGATTATGAATAATCTATTTAGGTATTCATAGTCAATGGAATTTGTCGCAAATTAAAGTACACTTTGATTAGCAAAAAGTTCTATTGATTATGAATATATAGATAGATAGAATTGATTTTTAACCTTGCTTTGATCTCAATAATGGGATTAGAATATGATGGTCAATTCCCTTTTTTAATAACTTGTTTTTTTTCCTTAATTAAGCAGGAACCGTGGCATTTGTAAAAGTAATCAAATCTGAACGAGCTATACCCACCCACTCAAAAAAAGCCTCAAACTTGAGAAAATAAGTAATCAACTAGTGAATTAATAGGAAAACTTAAACAAAATTCCTTTCATAAAATAACATGATCATTTTAATTTTTTAATGTTTATCTTTAAATCAATTCTGGTTCCATTCCTACTACTATTATTACTACTACTACTATTATTATTATTATTATTATTATTATTATTATTATTATTATTATTATTATTATTTATTATTATTTATGCTTTTTCGTTTGTGAACCAAAAAGCTTGTGAGATATTCTGTTACCATAATAGGCCTATGTCTATGTGTGTGTATTTAATCCATGCTATTGTTTTTTGTGAATTTGGCATGATCTATGATTCGGATATCACCAACTTCAAAGCATCCAATTCAATATATATATATATATATATATGTGTGTGTGTGTGTGTGTGTGTATATGCATATGTATGTAATATGGGTGGATGGGTTGATGGATGGATGTCCCAATCAGCAGTAGGCAAAGTGATCTCAAGCTCCGGTTTGAAATTTGGTCCTCCATGTGCAGTACTCCTCCCATTTTGGTGGCCCCATATTTGTCGTATTAGATCTGAGTACGTACGGAGGGCCAATAATTAATGAACCTCCAAGTTAACATTATCCTCAAAATGAAGCTTAAAATCATTAGTTTTTATCCAAGTCAGCAATGAAATTTTATTAGATTTTTTTTCTTTAATATAGAAAGGCATTCCAGCGATGGAATTTTATTTCGTTCAACAGGCAACGACATTTTAGTCATAAGTATTAACGCCAGTTTGCAAAAAGCCACTTTTGGTCTCTCTAGCCGGTTATGGTTGAGTCCATCCATCATCAGCCTTTTGTTGACGCTTTTTATCAGAAGAAAAGAAAAGGTCCATGCAGGAAAAACATAAAAAGTGTATTTCACGCTCTCTAATCCCATAGATAATTTAGAGAAAAACGAAAAGAAACATTTGGAGATGTTTGGTTCATAGATTAGAATCTTGTTATTAGAATTATTTTTGATTTATATGTATTTTTTGTGAGAGAAAACACTCTTACGAACCATGAATCATGATGCTTTGAATCCTCCGACCAAACATCTCCAGACAAAAGATATATTATACACGTTACTGGTTTTGATTCTAGAATCTCCAAATATTAATTTCTCAAACGCGCCCATTAATTAAATGTTATATATATATATATATCAGTCACATATGGTTGGAAATTAAAAAACGAATTCTCTGATTAAATAAATGATATTCTAAGGTGCGTAATTAAATTAGCAGCTCTCTCTCTCTCTCTCGTTGAATAGCAGCTCTCTCTTGGTGCAAGTATAATGACTACTATAACGAAAAGAATTAACTAGGATTTTAGGTGTGAACAAATAATTGGTTATTTTGGACAAAACCAGGAAAATTGAACAGTTACATATATGTATGTATGTATGTATGTATTTATTTATTTATGTATGTATGTATGGATGGTGAATTAGCGAGAAACCGAAACGAGACTTTTGCAAAGTTGCATATTTATGTCAATATTGATCCCATGTCTAATACTTGAATGAAATTTAAATTTTCAATTTCAGAAAATGTAGAATAAAATCAGTCAAAATGGGACAATCAAAGAAACTAATAATTATATTATTATATAAATTGGGGGCGCAAAAATGCTTATATTACATAATTTCTACTTTGTAGACGTTGATGCTAAGCTA